CACACACACACACACACACACACACACACACACACACGGGCCGAACAGGCCAGGGCTCCCTCTCTGCAAAGTCCAAAAATCAAGGCCAGAATTTCTTTCTTCCAATTTGGAAGCTAACTCATGCTTAACAAAAACGTTAGAAAACAGAGAAGACAAAATTCCAATCTACCACATGTCGCCCACCCAGAGCAACGATCGTCAATGCTTCAGATGTGTTCTTTTCCAGATCCTTCCCATGCATGTTTTGTAAGACTGGAATCACACTGTAAACACAATTTACAGCCTTTCAGGAGAGTGGGCCAATGAGACATGGTACTTTATCTAGTGATCTGGATTATCTTCTGGATTCCAAATGTCTGATCTGCTTACTGTAAAAAACCGCAGGGACTACAGAATGTGAAGTAGAAAGTGGAAGTTCTTTCTGACCTGTTGCTCTGAAAACCACAGTTGACAGCTGATGTAGACAGTCTGCAAGTTTGTTCTGACGCATTTGTTAACACATGAATTTAGCATCGGGTCAGGGCCTCCTGTTCTGTTCTGCACCTTACTTTTCTCCACTTACCACAGGGCCTTGGACGTCTTTCCATGCCATGTGTACAGGCAGGCTCGGTTGACCCCATTTCCCTTCTATAGTTCTAAGACATATAATGTATAAATGTACCTTAAGATATTTCTCGAACCTCAGTGGGTGGATATTTGTATTCTCTCCAATAATTCCTAGTACAGACAGTCCTGAAGTGAACACCCTCGCATCTAAATCTTTATGCGATTGTGCAAGATCTCAGTAGGACATATTTCTTGGAAGTGTAATTGCTGGATCACGTTTAAAACGTACAAGTTTGGAGTTCTCCTCCAAAAAGTTTCTCCAAAATTATACTCCAAGAGGCTGAGGACACATCACTTACATTTAAAAATTTTTTTTTCATGTTTATTTTTTTCTGAGGCAGATAGTAAAAGACAGAGTGTGAGCAGGGGAGGGGCAGAGAGAGACACACACACACACACAGACTCCGAAGCAGGCTCCAGGCTCTGAGCTGTCAGCACAGAGCCTGATGCAGGGCTGGAACTCATGAACCGCAAGATCATGACCTGAGCCAAAGTCCGACGCCCAACCGACTAAGCCACCCAGGAGCCCCCTGCACGTCACTTACATTTTTAAACACAAACGTGACATCATGAATTTACAAGTTAGCTGTAACAGCTAAGTAATCCATTGTATGGGTTTGTCATTATTGACTTAACCATTCACCTGTGGATCTCTGCTGTCAGACTTTGAGCTTGTTACTATTCTTCCCTGTTATAAATAACCCAGCAGCAGACATGTTTGTAATTAAAACAGTTCCTGAATCTCTGTAGTTAATAAAAAAGGGCCACTGTCCCTCTCATATTCCAGCTGCTGTGAATAGAAGAGATAGACTCTGACCCCTGCCTGTCAAGGAACCTATAGTGTTCTGAGCCTGTCTGGACAAGTGCCCCATTCCCTACCTGCGACACATGCCTCTCCAACTGCGCCTCTCTTAACTGGTGACTCAAATGCTCCCCCAATTCTCCATTCAATGAGGAGTATCAACAGAAACTATCTCCTGGGGGCACCTTGGTGGCTCAGTCGGTTTAAGCGTCCAACTTTGGCACTTTGGCTCAGGTCAATGATCTTGTGGTTTGTGAGTTCGAGCCCCACATTGGGCTCTGCACTGATGGCTCGGAGCTGCTTTACATCCTCTGTCTCCCTCTCTCTCTGCCCCTCCCGCCGCTCTCAAAAATAAACAAGAATTAAAAAAAATTTCCTCCTGGTTAGAGGCTATGGCTCCAACTGAAAAAACAGTCTAGAAAAAAAGTATTTCAGAATTTGAGGGCACGTTATTTCACAGGATCAAAAGGACCTTTTTTTCCAAACCCAGAAAAGAATCACGCCACACCTTGTTGGCAACAGATGGGTTTAGTGCAACTAACTTTTTTTTAAAAGCACAATATAAAAGGTCTTGTACTAAGCTCTGTTCCCTGGACTCTGGTTCCTACCCATGGCTGACTAACTGGGGGAACCTCCATTTCCTTGTTTACAAAAGACAATGAAGAATGTTTTGACTCCTAGTGGCCAACTTTTTTCCTGGGGTGGACACATTCTCTTCAGAAATAGCAAGTGGCAGGGAGCCTGGGTGGCTCAGTCAGCTGGGCAACCAACTTCACTCAGATCGTGATCTCACAGATCGTGAGTTCGAGCCCTGCATCAGGCTGTGTGCTGACAGCTCAGAGCCTGGAGCCTGCTTCAG